AGTGGCCACTGCACTCCTGTCTGGGCGACAGAGTGAGACTCCAACTCAAAAAAAAAAAACCACGGTATTTTTGAACATCTGCTGGGTGCTGGGCATTGTGTTAGGCCCTGGAAAAACTGGTTGCCAAGTGAATGATCAGTTTGGAAGGAGGTGGACAGTTAGTTGTACATGGTGTGGGAAGGCAGGAAACCGGCACCTGGTGGAGGGTGCCAGGGGGTTGTTAAGAGCTTGGGCTAGGGCAACCCCTTTGGATCCCTTCCCTTCCCACTGTGGAAGCATTTCTGTCCTCTCAATAAATCCCCTCTCTTTAAAAAAAAAAAAAAAAAGAGCTTGAACTCTGATACCAAGCAGATGTGTGTGTACCAATCAGGAGTGAGACTATTTGGATTCAGACTATGGTTCTACCACTTACTAGTCATGTGACTTTGACCTTAATCACTTAGCTGTGCTAAGCCCCAGTTTCCACGTCTGTGAAGTGGTGATAATTATAATATCTTCCTTAGGGTTATGGTGAGGATCAAATAAGATATATAAACATGCAGCCGAATGCCTGATCACATGTTAAGTATTCAATAATTGTAGCTGCTATTGTTATTACAATACTGCTGCTACTGTTATTGCCATTGTTATTATTATTATTTTTTCCTGGAGTTGGAGTCTCACTCTGTCACCCAGACTGGAGTGCAGTGGCCGCTCCCGGCCACCACAGCCTCCACCTGCTGGGCTCCAGCGATCTTTCCGCCTCAGCCTTCCGAGTAGCTGGAACTACAGGCGCGCGCTACCACACCCGGCTGATTTTTCGATTTATTGTAGAGATGAGGTCTCGCCAAGTTGCCCAGGCGGGTCTTGAACCCGCGGGCTCAGGCAATTCACTCACCTCAGCCTCCCAAGGCGCGGGATTACAGGCTGAGCCACCGAGCCGGCTCGCCATTGTTATTATTAGCAGACTCAGAGCTCTGGCTTTGGCCTGTCCTCTGCCCCAAGGTGAAGGAAAAGCCTCAGGGCTAGAACTCTCCCCAAGCTGCCTTGGAGCTCCCCCTGGTGGGCAGGGAGCCTCAGTGAGAGGGTGAAAGGGGGCTGCGGCCCCAGCTGACTCCCATCTCTCCCTCCAGCCGGATGACATTGGCCAGTCACCCATCGTCTCCATGCCGGACGGAGACAAGGTGGACCTTGAGGCCTTCAGCGAGTTTACCAAGATCATCACCCCGGCCATCACCCGTGTGGTGGACTTTGCCAAAAAACTGCCCATGTTCTCCGAGGTGAGTAGCAGAAGGGAGGAAAGACATGGTGCTGTCCTGGAGGCCAACCTGGGGCTGTTCCCCTGTCACCCAGTCCCAGTACATGCTCTGGACAGGGAGCAGTTCCTGTAGCTCACCATACACCCAGTGCTCGTGTGCACGCGCACATTCTCCAAGGCCTAGCTGTTCCAAGGACCCAGCTGGCTCCAAGTGTCCCTCTCCCCAGCCCCTCATCCCCCAAGTCTATGTGGCCATTCCAACTCCAGGCAGCCTGATGTTCTCATTTTACAGAGCACTAACCCTGGAGACAGGTTGCCCTACTAGCTGTGTGACCTTGGCCAAGTTACCTAAGTCCTCTGTGCCTCAGTTTTCTCATCTGGAGTGGGTTAGGCATAATGATGACCCCTAATGCACAGGGGTGATTGTGAGGCTTCAGCGAAATAGGGCATGCAGGTGGCCCAGCACCAGGTCATCTTTTTAGAGTCCATGTTACTGACTGAGGCCGGTGGTGGCCTCATGGCTCCCAGAAGACACCTACGGGGAGACTCAGGGATGCCGGAAGGGGTGTGCTGAATGGTCTTGTGGCCCTGCCGCCCTGCAGCTGCCTTGTGAAGACCAGATCATCCTCCTGAAGGGGTGCTGCATGGAGATCATGTCCCTGCGGGCGGCTGTCCGCTATGACCCTGAGAGCGATACCCTGACGCTGAGTGGGGAGATGGCCGTCAAGCGGGAGCAGCTCAAGAATGGCGGCCTGGGCGTAGTCTCCGACGCCATCTTTGAACTGGGCAAGTCACTTTCTGCCTTTAACCTGGATGACACGGAAGTGGCTCTGCTGCAGGCTGTGCTGCTAATGTCAACAGGTACCTGCCGACTGGCTGGGAGGGCTCAGAAGCTTCCAGGGGCCCCAGAGCTTGGCTGGACCCCGGGCCTGTTGCTCTCCTCCTTCCTCAGTCTTCTCTGGCCCAGACTCACTTCTCTGTCCCATCCCCTGTCCCCCAGGCTACCTCTCTGTCACCTGGCTGTCCTCTGTCCTGTCACCCCTTCGTCACCCAGTTCCCTAGGTCCATCTCTTGCCTTCCCATCCCTACTCTGTTCCTTGTCCTGTCTTTGCTGCCTTCTTTTTTTTTTGGAGTTGGGAGTCTCACTCTGTCGCCCAGACTGGAGTGCAGTGGCCGCTCCCAGCCACCGCAGCCCAACCTGCTGGGCTCTGGCGATCCTTCCGCCTCAGCCTTCCGAGTAGCTGGAATTACAGGCATGCGCTACCACGCCCAGCTGATTTTT